CTGATTGACACAATAACAAAAAAAAAACGATTACAACAAACGTTTTGCAGAGTTCCGTTCAACAAATTCACATCAATAAACCGCCAGTTCCCCAGATAGTAACAAAACTCATCAATAAATTTCCAATGTTGATTGAACCAAGAAATAAAAACCAAATAAAAATCAACTCAAAAGTAAAACACATCATCGACACTGGTGAAAGCCAACCAACATTTGCCAAGGCTCGCCAACTATCTGAAGAGAAATATAAGGTAGCAAAAGAGGAATTTACGTCTTTACTAAACGCCGGAATCATCAAACAATCTAAATCTCCCTGGGCTTCTCCACTTCATCTAGTTCCAAAAGGTACTCCTGGACAATGGAGAGCTTGCGGAGATTATCGTTGTGTAAATGCCATTACGAAACCAGACAGATATCCAATTCCAAATATTCACAGCATCTCAACTAAACTACATAGCAAAAAGATATTTTCAAAATTGGATTTATTAAAAGCTTATCACCAGATACCAGTACATGAAAACGATATTGAAAAAACAGCCGTAATAACACCTTTTGGACTCTTTGAGTACATGTTTATGCCTTTTGGTTTGCGAAATGCAGGATGTACATTCCAAAGATTCCGGGATAATATCTTTCTAGGTACCGACTGTGTTTTTGTTTATCTAGACGACATTCTCATATTTTCAGAAAGCACTGAACAACAGGAAAAAGATTTAGAAACAGTATTTCAAATCCTTAGTGAAAATAATTTGAGAATCTCCATAGACAAGTGCCAATTTTTCAAAGAAAATCTAAATTACCCAGGATTCAACATCAGCGGTGAAGAACTATTTCCTACAAATGAAAAAATAAACGAAATTGAAGAATTTCCAGTTCCAAATGATACTAAATCTTTACGTAGATTTTTAGGAATGATTGGTTTCTATCGCAAAATCATTCCACAATTTGCAGATATTGTATTTCCACTAACAGAATTAATAAAGTTACACCCAAACTCAAAAACAATAGTGTTTAATAACGAAGAATTGGAAGCCTTTAAAACCATCAAATCTAAACTTGCCAACGTAACGACACTTCCATATCCAGATTCAAAATGTACAAAATACCACTTAGTTACTGACAGTTCTGCTTACGCCATAGGTGCAGCACTGCATCAAGTAGTTGATTCAACTCCTGTACCAATCGGTTTATACTCTAAAAAGTTAACTGAACCACAACGTAACCTTTCTACATTTGACAGAGAACTACTAGCAGCGTACCTTGCCGTCATCCATTTTGAATATCAGATTGAAGGAAGAAATGTAACTCTATTTACAGATCACAAACCATTATGCGCTGCCTACAAAAAGAAAACACCATTAAAGTCAGACGTTCAAAAACGATATCTTTCAATAATATCCGAATACATTGCAGACGTCATTTACATCCGCGGTGAAGAAAACGTTGTTGCAGATTGTCTCTCTCGGCCAGCAAATGCTGTAAAGATAGAAGTCTGTGACTTGTCGTCGATAGCCAAACAACAAGAAATTGATGATGAAATAAAATCATTCAAGGATCAGTTGAAACAATATCCAATTGGCGATAACAAAAAAATATTTTGTGATGTATCAACACCATACCCCAGACCATACATCCCAGTTAATTTGAGAAAAGCCATATTTGACAGTCTTCATAACCTCTCACATCCAGGTATCAAAACATCAATACGATTAATCAAATCTAGATATTTTAGGCCAGATATAGACAAACAAATAAGAACATGGTCAAGAGAGTGTTTAAGCTGCCAACAAAACAAAATTCACCGACACACGAAATCTACGATATCATCATTCAATTTACCGTCTGCACGTTTTGAGACTGTTCAAATGTTCATATTGATATTGTAGGTCCGCTACCACCGGTCAAGCAAGGAAATGAAACCTATTCAAGCCCATTCAGATATTTACTCACATGCATTGACAGAACAACTGGTTGGATCGAAGCAGCACCAATGACAGAAATATCAGCTTCAACAGTAACTACAACTTTCTTGAACATTTGGATCGCTCGATTCGGTGTCCCTCTTTACGTTGTAACAGACCTAGGTACACAATTTGAGAGCGAATTATTTCACGAACTATCAAAAATAATTGGATTTTACCGTCTGCGTACAACCAGTTATCATCCACAAGCCAACGGAAAAATAGAACGTCAACATCGTACCTTGAAAACAGCAATTAGTTGTCGTAAACAAAACTGGTTAGATGCATTAGCTGTCGTTCTTCTAGAACTTAGAAACATACCAGATGAAAATGGAATATCTCCAGCAATAGCAGTAACGGAACCAATTTGTTATTACCAAGTAGATTTTTATTCCCAGATTCAAATGAAGATATAACATCTAGTCAAATCAAACAACTAGCAAAAGAAATGTTCAAACTTAATGACTACCTAACAAATAACAATCAACATCACTCTACCCCAAAAGCTTTCGTACCAAATGACCTTTCAAACAGTAGTCACGTATGGTTAAGAGTAGATTGGTACGTCGTCCACTGGAAGCACCATATACAGGTCCTTTCAAAGTGATTGAACGTAACGAAAAATACTTTAAAATTGAATTGTTACCAGAAAATTTTCAAAATGTGTCAATTGATCGATTAAAGCCAGCTTGTTTACCCCAACAACCAAAACCAGAATAAACAACGAGAATAGTTTGACAACGAACAACAAACTTTCTACAACAGATTCAACAAAACCAGCAACATCAGACACAAAATCTACTGGAACACCAGAAACAGCAACAACAACATCAGGCGCAACAACAACACAAGAAACAAGACCGACGTCAACCACATCCGAACCAACAACCCAACACTCCAGAAAAGGGAGGCGAATAACATTCAACAAACGAAATTAATATTTTTATTTTTAAACGGCTCCGCCTTTTGTGGGGGAGTATTGTAGGGATCAAACATTTATTTGTTAACTATCTCATATATTAATTATTATTAAAGATTATTACAATTTTCAATGTTACCTAATCTATGTTAATTTTTATGTCTTTGCTTCTCTCTCGACTTCTTCCTTTTTTTCCTGAGAGCTTGTAAAACGAAACGGTTTGAGATTCACGTGGGAATAAAGATAATATTTTATTACGCCTGAATTGTGTTTGTTTTATTTATTTTAACTCACAACAAGGTGTCTTGTTAGTAGCATAAGTTTGTACTAACAAATCTCTTGTTGTATATCCAGAAAATTCAATAGGTGATGCTTTTTTTGGTGGGCCAAAATTTGTTATAATTTTTTTTAAATATTTTCATTGCCACCCACTCTTGGCTGGGTGATTAAATTCCCGCCACACACAATGGACCGCTGAAATTTAATTCTTTGGACGCATGCATACGGCTGACACGAGAAACAGTTCTTTTCTAACAAACTGTGACAAATAAGAAATGTGGACAATAAATAAAAAATTTAAATAATAAAAAAAGCAATACGAAATTGAAAATAGCAAAACAAAAGAAAATATAAATTTCCGATTGAAATGATAAGGAGGGCAAGTTGTACTTCAGGGAACTCACAGAATTTGTTGGAAAATTTGATAAAGCGGAACGTGCGTATAAATGTTGCAAATCAGTCCCGGTTAGTGAACCAAAAGATGACTTGAAAATTTGCAATAATCACCGATCAATGTTATTGCTTTTTACGAATTTAAACTTTCTCCTCAACCATCAAAAAACGAATTGAAAAAATAATGGTGGCATTGTTAACAGCACCTGAGGACAGCAGGTTTAATTGAAACAAATTTCAAACAACTAAATTACAAGACGATGCTAGACTTTTAACTACGATGCTAAAGTAGATTTTGTATGCTGATTGCTATTTTTGTTATTAAAACTTGTACCAATGTAATTATTGATCAGAACCAAATTACGATAAAAGATGCTAAACATAAAAGACTGATGCATTTTTTGGAGAACATTAAAAGTTGGAGGCTTACCAGCTTCAAAATTTTTTTAAGGTTTATAAAGAATGATTGATTGAAATTATTTATTTCTAAATTTAAAAAAGTCAAAAGATACAAAATAACGCTTATGAAATTGTGATATTTATTATGCAACAGTAAATAAATTAATATTGATAGAGAATTGTATCGGATAGCCTGAGAAAGAAAAGTGGATAAATATGAAATAGCCGGCAAGAGATTATTCACACAAAAACAATTACTGCTGAGAGATTACTTGCTGAAGACACAAACAACAAATTTCGAGTGTGTGTGAGTGTTTGTGGGTGGGTTTGTATGTCATAAGTTTACCAATATGTTGATATTGAATATTTTGGATAATAAATTTATATATAAATATAAATAAATATATATATATATATATATATATATATATATATGTATATATATATATATATGTCGGTCCGTACCAAGCCACCCAACGAAGAAGAATGTTTAAACGAAAAAAATAAATGTTGTGAAACATAAAAACAACGATTTCGTTATTGTTAACCGTTACTTTACACAGTGTCAGATTAGGACGATAGAAAAAATATTGAAGAAGTTGTCTGAAGTGTTAATTAATAATGGTTAAAAACTCACTCCTTAAATTGATCTGTGATAGCTACGCAAAATCAATTTTGGGAGCCAATAAAGTTGAGACGCACAAAAATAACTATATATAAAATATAACAAATAATTGATAACATACTGCATTGAAAATTGCAAAGGATTACCGAAAAAAAGTAAAAAATGAATAAAAAAGTAGTTAAAAACTTAATTTTTGATAAATATAAATAATTTAAAAAACGATGATAAAAATACGGTACGAAATAATGAACAATTGAACCAAAAACTGATCGAAGCTTTAAATATATTTTGTCAGTGATAACAAAAATCAATTAGTATGATACTTTTCTTGGCACAACATCATTCTGCAAATTCTATCTTGCTGACAAGTATGTTTTTTGGATGGGCAAAGTGACAATTTCTTTTTAGGCATTTTTCATTGCTTTCACCAGTACACTGTCGGATATGCATCAAACCATGTAAAACAAATTTCTGGCACCATCTCTACTATGTTAAACCAGCTGGGGGCATAGACCTGAACAATGAATGATACAATTTTCAGCATTTCTTCTGACAGGTTTTCAGTGCCATTGTATAAACTCAAGACTCTGTTGGCAAATGTCAGCCATCTCGCTTGATAGATACTTTCCGGGAAAGCAGAAGCCAAAAAGTTTAAATCTTGTTCTACTGCATTGTCCTTGCCCTCTTGTACCACCAAAAAAGTCCGCAACATTTAGCACTGGTTTTCACTAAGATCTTTCTTGATTTCATTCGATACATTTTCAGTGCAACCCGGAACTGCTTTAAAATTAATAATTATTAATCCTTTTAGATCGAAATTTAATCTGCTTCCAATATTTCTACGGAATGCTGTAAGTCCTGATATTGTACCATCCAACTTAGTAAAAATTGCACAAAACGGCAACTCATTCAAATGTGACATACAGATAAGCCACTGCAATGGGCGGTTTAGAGCTGTTCCAAGCAGACGGATCACACCATTGTGCTTTCCAGTGTTGACATTTGTACACAAAAAAACGGCTGTCAGGATTTCATTAGAACCAGTTTTATGAATAACTGACAATCTCAGATGCAATATCTTTTGCTTTGCCTATCTGCGGTGCCACATGATCTACATAATTTTGACCGGGGTAGCCAATTATAACATAATGATCCTCTTTTTTAGTTCACACAACCCTACCTATAGCCAGCAACCGTATTTCATCAATTCGTCCATCAAAACCAATACATCTTAATCCTGACGCTTTCTTAACTCGGCTCTCTAGAAATTTACCTCTCCAAAAAATGCGCTGTCTTCTCAGTTTTTTTGGCTCAAGCATGAATTCTGTATTCTGTATTTAAATATGAATGGAATATGTCATCTATTCAACATCTTAGTTTGTGAATTTTTTCAGAAAGTCATAACTAATACCAGGCGTAAAATGAATTGAATTGTATAAAAATGTTAACATAGTGTAGGACCTCTAGAATATGAAATATATGGTTCAAACTTTACAGAAATACTTTTTAGCATAGTAAGCAACTTTTGACACTTGAAATGACATATGTTCCATTTTTTGCCCCACCCTTGTAGGTTTTTTCAGAAAGCTTACATACCCGCCGTAAAGGAACCTGCATGCCTAATCTCTGAAAGTAATAGCAGACCAGATAGTTGCACTCTTGTTCCGTGGTCCCGTGGTTGTTGTTTGGCATAGGATTTGACGTTTCCCCAATCGCTAGCTGTATTTTAGAAAATATCGCCAAATGTCCTTCTGTGCCAGACCCATGACTAACATAAGCAAGAGAGTTGGAGAAAAATAATAATTTTTATGACTGTTTTTAACCATCGGCTTGTACATGCATACATATATTCGTACGTATGTAAATGCATACATTATGATACATTTTGGAAAAGGAAAAACAGGGTTTTTGTGGTTGAAATGCCATTGGATTGATTAGATTGGACACGTTTGCTCAGTTCGTCAGTCAGCCAGCACATAGAACAATTTGATCAACAATCGATCGATGGATCAATCAATAACAACTACATACTCATCATTTCTGTATTGCTCATTAGGTACTTTTGAAATCGCACAATGAACATGAACGTCTGCATTGGTCTATCTCTAGGTGATTCGATGAACAACAAACTCCGGCTTATGCAAATCAATTTTTTGCGTTCAAAGACGTTCTATAATAGATAGTAATAGTAATGACTCCATGTTTGATATGCACGCATTACAAATGAAAATTTTTTTACATTTCAATCACAAAAACAGATGCATTGGCCTACAACACATTGGTCAGTTCGGTTCAACCGATTTTCAATTAATAATAAAATTTTTACAAACACGCGCGCGCACACATGCAGTTATACGTAAGACGATAATATTTTCGTTGGAATGAAATTCAAAATGTACGGTAGCAGTCTCGATCAATGTGGGGACATGCTACCTGAAAATAGCACACGTTGCTATGCAAAGCTTTTGCAAATAACAAAAGCATCGAATGCTCTTGTTTGCAAACACAGTACGTACCAACATCACTTAAAATAAGTGAATGTTAGATTAAATATAATTTTTAGTTTTATTATTACTTATTTCTGAAAAAGTATATTTTCATGAGATGTTGCAAGATTCAGAAGACACGATAAACTCCAGCCTACCGTCAATTTATAACAAGTTGCATTCGAGTCCGCGTTGCATCATCCTGCATTACTCTCCCTTCAAAGCTGTTTGGGACTGGATAACTCTCTTATTTGTCGTTTACACTGCATTTCTAACTCCATATATAACAGCATTTTGTTTGAACAAAGATTTTTCAAAATCTCAATTGAACTTGGACCCATCGTTAAGATTGGCATATGCGGAAACCAGTTCGGTCGATCCTCTTGTTATTGTTGACGTTATAATCGATATTGTTTTTCTATTCGATATTTTTATTAATTTTCGAACAACATTTTTACTGAACGGAGATGTAATAAGTGATCCTCAGAAAATAGCTATAAACTACATAAAGAGTTGGTTCTTTATCGATGCAATAGCTGCCATCCCATTCGATCTTTTACTGTTTGGTTCAGGAACAAGCAGTGTAAATTTTATTCTCTCAATATTTTTATTCAACTAGTTTCATTAGATTATAATGATTGTTATAATCAATTAATCATATTAATATATTTTATAATTTTATGTAATATTATATAATCATTGACGTTCTTATTCATAATTGCAGACAACAACGATTGCTGGAATATTGAAAATATCAAGATTAATTCGCTTGGTACGAGTTGCCAAAAAAATAGATCAGTTTTCAGAATATGGAGCCGCAGTGTTGTTGCTTCTCTTGGCGACATTTGTCCTCATATCCCATTGGCTGGCTTGCATATTTTACGTCATTGCCTTCATCGAACGACCAACATTACATGCTCCAATCGGCTGGTTAGATTATTTGGCAAATATAACTGGTAAGCCATTTTTGAAGAACGAGACCTTTAGTGGGCCTGATATACGGTCCATCTACATCACATCTTTGTATTTTACGTACACCATACTGACCAGTGTGGGATTTGGTAACATTGCTCCAATTACAAATCTGGAAAAAATTTTCAGCATTTTTGCTATGATGCTTGGATGTAAGTATTTTTTTAATGGGTTGGATTTTAAATTAAACTGTTAAAAGGCAAATTTTTGTTAATTATATAAAAGCGTTGTTTCGATAAATATTTATTTTTAATTTATTTAAACTGTCAAAAGTATAGAATTAAAATTATGAATGAGTAAAACAAAATTAATGTAAACTATTTGCACTGGGATGTAAATTCCAAGTTCTAAATGACAAAGTGGCAAAGAAGATGCTTCATTGAACAAATTTTGCAAAATTAATCGCTTAAAAAATCGTTGAACTCGATGGCGACGACCTTGCTTAACGAATATCATTATTAGCAAATTTTATTGATAATCCACATTTTTGTTTTCAGTTAGTTTTCAGTTTGTTTGTTTTTTTTTCATCTGAAAAAAAATGACTCAATTTTGTAATTTATCACTAATATTTAGGTCACCACTTTCCCATCTACGGTTTTCTTCATTGGAAATTGACAGCAGTTAAGATTATTAGTTTACTTCAGATTTATAACAACTATTTGTGGCTCCTTATTTTAAATAATAATAATAATAATATAAACATTTATGAAGCGCCCATTCGCACAGCTGCTTCAGAGGCGCCCGAAGCCCGTGTTAAAAAGATGAGTCTTTAATCCCTTTTTGAAAAGACTCAACGAGAAACATTGCCTTAACTCAGGAGGTAACGCATTCCAGACATACGGAGCAGCGTGACAAAAACCGCGGCCAGCCAGGCGGGATCCGGAAACGGGAATGTTTAGGAAACCTGTTGAGCTGCTGCGGAGTGATCTAGTATGTTCATGTCTGGATATGAGGTCGTATAGATATGTTGGGGATTTTAATAAGAGGGTTTTGAAGGTAAGGACTGCAATTTTGAAGATGATTCGAGCGGAAATTGGAAGCCAATGAAGCATTGGAAAAAGAATGGAAGAACTAAAACGATGAGGTTTATTAAATATCAGTTTAGCAGTTTTATTTTGGATAGTCTGTAGCTTTCTGACAGATGCACGTGAGGCCCCATACAATAAGGAGTTGCAGTAGTCTAATCTAAAAAGGATCAAACATCTGCAAAGGGCAGCAGCAACATCACATGTAATCATATGTCTAATATGTCTTATTGTGCAGAGGTGATAGTTGCAGGATCTGACGATTTCTGATATGTGTTTATCAAAATTTAGATGTCTGTCAAAGTGACCCCAAGCAACTTGATCGCATCCGAGATAGGCAATGTGGACCCTGCTATGTCCATTTCCTCGAGCTGAAACCTTGACAGTTGTTGATGTGTCCCAATGACTATAATTTCAGATTTGTTAGGGTTGAGAAAAAGAAAATTATTAGCATACCACCGACAAACCTCGCTAGTACAATTGCTTAAGACTCGAAGTTTGCTTTCAAGATCGCCAGAAGTGACAGATGTATGCAGATGAGTGTCATCGGCGTAGTGATGAGAAAATAATCCATTTTTACTAAAAATGTCGCTAACAGGAGATTCGACCGAGAGCGGAACCCTGAGGGACTCCAGTGCCGATCAAACAGGTAGAGGAAGTATGGTTTCCCAGCTTCACAAACTGCTGTCTGCAGCTCAGGTAAGATCTAATCAGTGATAGTGCATGACCATCCACCCCAAACTCTTGTTGTAGGCGTTCGAAAAGAACCGAGTGACTGGTGATATCAAAGGCAGCGGACAAGTCGAACCCAACTGCAATGATTAACTTTCGGTTGCCAGCCTCATTAAAAATATCATCAGCAATGTGTAGCAATGCAGTCTCAGTGGAATGATGAGAACGATAAGCAGATTGATGATTTGGATAGTTATGATTGGACATTAGATGGGCACGTAGTCTTAGCAATATGACGCACTAAATGTTTTAATTTGTTATTGCCTAAATTCTTTATTGTCCAAATTGTATAAAAATTTAGTATACCAAAAGGTTTTTTTATTTAAAATTTAGTTTTTATAGAAACATCACCACCTTTTTAAATTTCTTTCAACAATGCAAACATTTCTCGCGTACATGAGTGAGTTCCCGAGCTGACCGGCTCGCGCTAGTTTTTCAAATTCTCCTTGAACTGAAATTTTGCAGTTATTCTGATCAATTTAATTGTTTTATCGTTTCCTGTGATCCTGCTGTTTTTTATTTTTTGTTGCTCTTTTTACATCTTCAGCTCTTCTTATTTGGCGACAAATTTAGGTGTGTTTTCCCGTTTTTATCACTTTCATTTTTCATCTTTTAAATGTCATCTAATAGTCCAGTCTATAAATTTCCATGTTTCATCGGTAATCCACAATTTTATTTTATTCATTTGATTTCAAAATATTTATTTGCTGCAGATTGTTGAGGGCTGCTTTCAAATTTTTGACTCTTGTCTACATTTATGTACAAAAAGAGAACAAATTTATAAATTGCAAGTAATTTGTGTTAATTTCTAACTATTTAAATCTAATGAAATAAATTTCTATGTAAAATTCTATTAAAATCCTTTCTTATTTTTGTTGGGATTAATTAAAATATGCTTTTTTTGGAATCTTGTGAAGTTATTTTATAGATACAATGCTATTTGGTTCCCACATTTTTTGTTCTGAATGTGGAGCTCTGATATGCGATGAACTGTTCACACATTATTCTTTAAATACAGTGAAGCTTTCTGCCACAAAGGCTGTAACATCCACGCCTTACGACATTCATACACATTTTGTATGAACGCGCAAGCACCGCATCATAAATACATATAGCGTATGATACTCTTTGAGTGATTTTAAGGGGACCAGGCCATCCATCGCGCAATAACCACGCGACAACAAGTTTCTAAATTGTATTTAATGTGGCGCCATAGAAGCAGCTCAGTGCATGTAAAAGCGTTGAAAACAAGTTAATTAGAAACTGAGTTATGATTCTATGGTCAAGGTCACTGAACTGAATCTGCCTATAAAACATCACGATTTAGTTGGGCAATTCAAAATGTGTTTGACATTTAAAAAGTTCATTATAAATCAGCATCAATATGTAAAATTCTGGAAAAAGTATATTAACAATTTTATATTGTACGTATTTGCCAGCTTTGATGAGTGCAGTTATATTTGGAAACGTTTCATCGATTATGCTGAGAATTTATCAAGGCAGTGGTGAACAGCAAGAATTGCAAATGAGTATAAAAGAGTTCATCAGATTCCACGCGATACCAAAGTCTCTGGCGAACAGGTTGCTGGAGTCACACGAACAGTCAAGAAACTTTACAAGTGGAATTGACATGAATAGCGTACTGTTTATTTATTTAACAACCATAATAAATATTTTCATGCATATATACATTTAAGGTTTTAAAAAGTTTCCCTGACTGCATGCAAGCAGATATTTGTCTACACTTGAACAGAAAGTTACTAAGCAGCAACGAAGCTTTCAGTCAGGCCAGTCCAGGTTTTGATCATTTTTATTTTTTTAAATCTTATATAAACCTATCTAATGAAAATAAATGAACCTAAAAATCTGGTTAAAATATCCGAAAAAACCGATAGCTAGTTTTTTTAGAGATAGCAAATTATAAAAGTAGTAAATAAAATTCACATGTAAAGATAAATCAATACATAGCTTTGTTTTCGAAGGTTGTATCCGTGCACTTTCAATGAAATTCAAATCCACGCATGCTCCCCCCGGCGATACATTGATACATCCAGGAGATATCCTCTCATCAATTTACTTCATCGCCAGAGGTTCTATCGAAATAAGCAGGAACGGAAACGTTATCTGTCAACTAAGTGAGAATTTTTATAATTGACACATCTTTTAAAAGTGACTCACAACACCTCACAATTTATATTTTGTTTTTTATAAAACTTATCTGGATAAATAAATTTAACACAAAAGTTATTTAAATTTTAACTTTTTGAAAATACTTACAGTAAACAAACAATAATAAATAATAAATTATTTTTATTGACTGCTAAGTCAGTGATGGGCAAACGTTCCCATCCGGTGGTCACACTGACAATTGTAATAAGGAATAAACGCAGTTGTCTATAATTTGTTATACCTTTTTCAAACGTGATACCAAACTAATCACCGTTATTTTCATTGAAACATTCAAAGTTGAATCTATTTTTGGCTTATTTATATTCAAATAAAAAAATATTTGCTCACAAAACATGTGGACCCGAATTTTAAAACAAGTTTAACAACATGGTTTTATTAATAAGCACGCACAATGAAGAAGTAATTAACAACTAAAACGCAATATTCTTAGGTATAAAAAACGCAGAGATTAATTAATTATTCTTAAACGTAAAGCTAAACTACTTGAAATGTTCGCGGTCCACGTGAAATGGACTGGCGGACCGCAGCTTGCCAACCTCTGCGCTAAATAATAAAAAATATTCAATTTGTTTTTTTTAATAAAATTAAGAAATGAGCTTAAATTTTTAAAATTTTAATTTTTGAAAGAGTCGTTGTTTTTTATTTTGATTTTTCCTGTTTCCAAATTCAAAATGGCATGCTTACTCAAGCAATCTCAACAAAAGCCTACACCGAACAACAAATTTTGGTATAAAAACAATCGTCGCTAAATTTAAGGAAATAAATAAATAGCCACCACGTAGCTTGATAAAAGTACAAAGTTCTGATTTTAGAGAAAATTTTTTAGTTGTCCCTGCCCATGCATGGAATAAAAAGAATTTTCAACAATTTTTTTGTATGTAACAAATTATTCTTATGTTATGATATTCTAATTCTTTTTATTGAATTGAAGTTTTAAGTTTTATAGAGCACATTTTCGAAAACTGATAAATTTGGTTGAAAAGTTACTTGAGATATTTATTTAAGAAATAATGAAAATTTTGAACGTGTTCCCATCTATCCCTTGTGTCTGCTGAACAGGGCTATTTTTCAATCTAGACTGTTTTAGTTCGCCCGCTTTCTTCTTTTATTTTTTGTTAATAAAATAATTTTCTTTCTATTATTTTTACTTATTATTGCTTATAACATTTTAGTCGTACAGCGGTTTTGACTCATACGGTGGATTACAATATTGGGATATATTAATATAATGCAGTTTTGTAGAAAATTTTTAAAAATTATAGAAATGTATGTTCAGATAAAGATGATAGTTTCGGTCAGAACATTGGAAGCTCATATCTGGAAGATGGACAATGGAAGGCCTTGAAGAAATCAGCATACAGCGTTATTATTTCATCGTATTCAGACTTGCACAAGATATCAGTTCAGGATTTACGAAACATTTTGGACATGTACCCTGAGTTTTCCCAAAGATTTCTTGAAAAGTTCCACGTGACTTTCGATCTGGGAGAGTTGTTAGATGTGAGTTAGAAAACTGTTGTAAAATTATACTTTTCTCTCCTTTCTCTCTCTTTCTATATATATATTTTTTAATAGTTTTTAGTTTTTTTATATGTAATAAATAAATAACATATATATATATATATATATATATATATATATTGGTACGAGGTTCTCAGCGATACAAACTTCATTAAATATTTTTGCCCATTTTGCTTTGATTAGTTTTTTACCAATAGATTCAACATTTCGTATTTGGGTTAAATCTTATTTATTAAAGAGTTGTGTCATAGTGCGGCTTACAACGTTGTTTCGGCGTGAGAGCCATCTTCAGAGCCTTAAGTAATATATTTTTGTAAATTAGAGTATGTTGAATAATTATAAAATGTATTAATATATGAAATTGAAATAGAATAAATTACGTTCAAATGTAATTAAGAATATATCAGATAAGAAAATAAATTAGAATAAAAGAAATATGATAAGTTAATTCAAATATATAAAATAAAATGACGATAAGTCATATATATATATATATATATATATATATATATATATATATATATATATATATTTACAATATTCTATAAATTCTACCGAATGTTTGGCGTTAATATGTTTGTAGTTCGTTTTTTCGATTTTTCTCACTAAAGTTTTTTGGTGAACGTTTAGTTTATTAAAATTCAAAATAAACTTATTTTTCGAATTCATGCTGCAAATATGGCCATATTTCGATTCCGAATGAATCATCACCAGTGCTCCTTGCTGTATATATAGGGAAATATTGACTTTGTCAAGATGAACTTTGACTTGGTAAAAATTAACTTTGGTGTTGTAAAATTGAACTTTGATGCGAATTAGGTGTCAGGTTTCTTCTTTGGTCTCCTTTTCTTCATCGATAGCATCATATTCATCTTTGTCACTATTTACAATGCTAGTTTTTATTACTTCTTTGTTTTCGTTGTTGGTTAAGCGCCGGGTTGGAAGTGAGGTTGTCATTTTTTGTTGTATATTTATTTTTGGTTTATTGATGTCGATTAGGACTGCTTCTGCAATTTTAAGATGCGTGTAGTTGCTGTTCTGGTATATTACTTTGGTGTTGCTGTCGAGGATTTCACGGCTAATTGTGATTGAGTGTGTTGAGTCCAAATGAGATTTGATAGCACCACTCTGTTTATGCATCGTAAGCCTTCTAGTCAGTGAGGTAGTAGTAATCCCGATATATGAGTCATGTTGACGTGCACAGCCGTCAAAAGGGCAATTAAATTCATATATTACGTGATTACGCTTTAACTCAGAGTTATCTCTAGGACTGCAGTTGTTTTTCAGTATTAGGTGAGACGTCTTTTTATTGTTGTAATAAATTCGGAGTTTAACTTTACTGTTTGGGTTGGTTGGTGTGACATTTTTATTGATGATATGTTTAAGAATATCCATTGTTTACAAGCAGGTTAGTGACTCTCTTTAATTCAGCGTCGCGATTTTCAATATCGGAAGAGTGTGTGAATGCTCGGTTCACAAATGATTTTATTGTGCTGTCTTTAAATTGTTCGGTACATTCACTTTGTCCATTCAAACAAATTCCTGTATTCGTTTCTTTGACATAGACCGCGGTTTTGAATCGTTCTTCGCCACGGGTGACCAACACATCGAGGAAAGGTAAACGTTGTTCCTTTTCACTTTCAATAGTAAATCTAAGTTTTGATTTGTTTAAGGTACCAAGAAGTTACAAAATATGGCCTTATTTGCAGCATGTTACAAAATATGGCCTTATTTGCAGCATGAATTCGAAAAATAAGTTTATTTTGAATTTTAATAAATTAAACGTTCACCAAAAAAGTTGAACAATGTTGAAAGTAGTGTTGAATTTTTGAAATGTTGCGTTAACAACAGTCTGTTACCAAAATATATATATATATATATATATATATAACTTTAATAAAAATAATAAAAATTGTATTTCAAATTGATTGATTTGAAATTACCGCAGTTGCTTTTTAAAATTGTAAAGATATTGGACAAATTTGAATTAATTTGAAAGGTTGATTATATTTATTGGTTATTTAACGGTTTTTAAATTGGTTTTTGAATTGATAATTAAGTTTTAATATACACACAATTTGCTGGTAGTTCATTATCATGTGTATCGGGTTTGGTTTGCTGCAATATATCATCTGTTAATTGTGTTTTGACAGTGTAATCAAATCATGGCCGGAAAAAATAATGCGTTGAAAACTACCTAGGATGAGAATCATAAGTTACAAAGAGTCAGTAAAAGTTTAATGTTATTAGAGTGAAGCTTCCTATTACGCTAAAATAACTGATAAGACATATGAGTTGATAAATGTATATGGAATATCATTTATAGAATTTGTTTACTGTCAATAATAAAAAGTCAAATAATTAAAAAAGTTGAAAGCTATAATGCCGAAGTAGTCGATAAAATGAACAAGTGTCTGCTTTGTGTTTTGACGAACTGGTTTTGGTCTTGGAGCATATTACGATGTGGAATTCAAATCTTTAACAGAAAGGAAATTTTAATGTGCATGTTGAAAAAATTACTAATTCACACACCGTTCGTTTATAAAAAATATTTGACATGCTTCAATTAGTAAGTCAAGTTGGACCAACATAGGCGCTGGATGGTACTCTAGATCTCGTTGATAGCACTCATGATTTTGCTGTCCTAAACACGATGATATTTTCAAGTGGAATTTTTTCAGATCTCAGTAATATAACATTTGAAACAGGGGTTGCTCAAGCGGGTCGTCAAATAACAAGAAGTTATTGTCAGGTCGTGGAAAGTGCAAAACGAGGTCGATTTCATAGAAGCAGTTTTGAATTCTCGGTTGTCTGGTACTTGTTACTGCAATGACGTTGGCTACGAGTTTGAAGTTTTTAACAGAGAACTGAAGAGTATTGTTAAAAGACCTGTACCTGAACGTGGAAATTTTTTACAAACAAGATGTAATCTAAAAAGACAAGTAGCAACTAGTCTGATGATGAAATTAAGCTCACTGCTTACCAATTTATATAACGCTGGTTGACGATCGGCAAAAAATTAATTTTTTACATTGTTGTGATCATGTTTGAAACGCTAAATGATTTTTCACCAAAATATTCGAGTAATAAATTCACGAGAAAGGCAGAACTACATCATCTTCTCATCTTAGACCAAGTGACGTGATACCTGTGACACGCTTCCAAATTGCTTCACGCGATATCGCCTTGCTGGTTCTAACCACTCTGTGGAAGTGGAACAACTTGCCTGCATCATTTAGATGACCCGGAGCTAGTCTTGTATTATTTAAAAAAATGAAAAACAGTTTTATTTTATTAGTTTTATGTTGTGTATAAATTTTTATTTATTTTGTTGGATACGTACTCTTTTTGTTTTGTAATATGTGAGAGCACCAATGAAAATATTTAATGGACGCTATATACATTTTTCTTAATAATAATAACAATGACAATATATATATAAATTGTTATTGTATATATATAGATAATATATATATATGTATATATATATATTTAGATAATATATATATATATATATATATATATTGTTATTGTTTTATACATAGGCGGCGACTTGTATGGGCTTTCGGGCTCGAGCCCCCCCAATATTTAACCCTTCGGGCTCAAGCCTATCTTGAGCCCCCCCAATATTTGAAAATAAATATTTTGAATTTATATTCAGTTATTATATTTATATTCAATTTTTATTTTCTTATAACTATATTGGCTGGATATTAGCTTATTTATGTATAATTAATCATCAAAAACGTCTGAGAGACCTGATCTAATTTCAACTATGTTTGCATAGTAAAAAATATTTGTTACATGTCAATTACAATTAACGTTTTGAGAAATGCAGATTTATTTTAAAAATAATAATGATCTAATATTCATTATTTTTGATCATTTCCTTTTC